TTTGAAAAACTGAGTACACCGTCACTGTGCCAAAATAACTCTTCCAGCTAGAGAGAGAATACAGGTATGGATTCTGCTTTGGAAGTGCAAGGTTTACGCTTCATTCATGGGAGGAGTTGATGTTGGTCTGAAATCTGGAGAACTGTAATCGTTCTGTTCTTACATTCTTGGGACACACTCCGGAAATGTGTTTCTTCCTTCAAATCAAGTTAAAAAAATGCCTCTTAGGCTCTAGAATATTAGAGGCCAGATCCTCAGCTGTTGTAAATCAGCATATGCCTGTGGACACCAGTGTAGTTATGCCAATTACAGAACTGAAGGATCTAGGCATCACATACGTGTAGAGAAATAAAGCACATACACACATATATATACCTACATTTTCATGTGCATATATATCATGCACACTTGATATATTCAGGTAGGCATATACTCCTAAAACTTACTTAAAAACATAGGCCCTGAGGCTCATCTCAGTTCTGCCAGGAGTAAGTGATCAGCAGTAACTTCCTTGAAGTCAGTGTTTCACTAGTGAACCAGTGAAAAAAGTCTTGCTCCCACCAAAGTCCATGACACTTGGAGGATGCAGGATCAAACCCTAAACGCCATGCTGGCATATGTACTAGGGTCAAAGTATTACTATTGCTGCATGGTTTCCAGAGTCCAAATAATAAAGCTCGTATCTTTATGCGACCTAATAAAACTAATGAGATTTCTTCACATCTTCTAAGCTTAATGAAATGCTTTTGTCCTCTCTTCACAAATGGCAGAGTAAAGCTTTTGTCTTTCAATGCAAACTTTCAGCTATATCCGCTGAAGTGCCTAAGTCCATCTTCTCCTTTCAGCTAGCGCCCAAATGCCCCAGCTCTCTCTGTTTCAGTTGATAACGTTCCTAAGACATTGTTTTTGCCATGGGAGGCAGACGGAGGGATATGCACAGTCAACCACTGTCCCAAGGAGTGTTCTTCAGGCGATTCACATCCTAATCTTCCGCTTCCTTACTGGCGTATGGGCCTCAGTCTACCCAGCACTGACAGAAAAAGGCATTTCTTCGCCCGTGGTCCTTTGCGTACTCTCCTAGGTGGCGGCAGCAGTTTGGGTGTACAGGCCAGGCTGCTGTGGCGGGGAGGCTGTCAAGTATGCCACCTTGGCAGGCAAAACTGTGCTCTGGATTGGCACTGCTGTGTCTCATGCTTGTCCGTTATGTTTTCCATGTGGTGTGCCACAGGAGCTCTGCTATCAGACTGACCCACGGAGAGTGATTTCTGCTTACAAACCTGAGCCTCTGCTGGGTATGTTTTTCCTCTCTCCGTATTCTGCCACTTGCCCTGCAATGCTGGTTTTGCAAATGCTATAAAACGCTCTGGGAGACTCACTATTCGAATGAGCATCTTGAAATGTCATAAAATGGCTATATTGAATAATTAAATTCAATTAGACAGTTCTTTCTAAGTATTTGCAGCTGTTCCGGTCTTCATTTTGCCTCGTCATCCCTTGGCATTTTGGCAGACTTTAGCACAGAAAACATTGCATTGCTCTGTATTGCTGTTTGAGGATGTAAGGGTCTGGATTAGCAATACTGCCCCTTTGGAAACTGCAAAATGAGAAAAACAAATTTGTAAATCAGAATGTCTGAGCAGCTTCTTCTTTCTAAGAAAAAGCACCTCAGAATATTGTGTGAATTTGTTAGGCTTCCTTTTGCCTGTAAAGAAAGAAAACAAGCAAATGGGCTTCTGTCAGTAGCTGGTCTGCAGCCTTTCAATGACCATACGAAAATGAAGGATTCTTTATTGCATCTGGACTTGTGCGATTCTGGTATGTAAATCTAGATATTAATAGTAACGTGAGTGAGTTTTTAAATAGATGCTAGCAAAAGCAAATGCAAATCTAGTTATTTTTGAAGCAGTGAAGGAAATAAAAATCACAAATGAAATCAAATATTAAACCAAATATTAAACATGAACAGCAGTTAAAGGTCAGTGTCTTACTTTAGGGACACCATACAATTCTGTGAATTTAATCTAGCCATTGTAAATCTGAAACCAGCACTAAGGCTGAAAGACTGTGTATATATGGAACCAATGAAATTTGAGATAAACATTGATGCACATGAAAAGGATATTATGGTAGCACACACTGATACGTGTGCTAACTTTGTGTGCCTCATTAATGGGAGAAGAACAGATATCAACATACTTAGGTTGCCCAAAATATATTTTTCTCATATATTATAATCCTGGTCTCCAGAATAAATGCCTGTGTAGCATTCTTTCCAGAAGTTGCCTGAAGGGGAAAAAATGTCATCATTAGTTGGATATTGGCACTGAATTTTAAAGAACTCATCGATAGTGGCCTTTTAAAACATGAAATGTGGAGGACAATACCTCCTTTTTACGGGGCAAAATGAATATGGAATTGCTTGTGGTTCTTTGGAACGCAAATTCTGCTCTGTGGAATGTGACTATTTAAAAATACCCCTCTGGCCTCCACGTGAACTCAGAAATGTCATCACAACCATCAGATAAAAATAAGGTTTTCTTACTTTTCAGTCCTCTTAATCCCGTGGAGCCACCACAGCTGTAAGAGAGGGAACACAGTTATTATTATTATTCTCAGCAGGGTCATTAGCTTATCCTCTGAGCCTGCGACCATTTACTCATGCAGATTTCAAAGAATCAGCTCATTGCTGTGTGTTTGCAAGGGCAGGCCCCTGGAGCCTGACTACAGCACCCATGTCTGCCCTCACCTGCGTTTCTGCTACTGCAGTGCAAACAAAAAGTTGCAGAAGCGCAACTGACAGCTAAATGCACTTTGTGTCTGTCGTAAGCAATGGTGCAGAAGCAAACAAAACAAAACAAAGAAACACACACCAAAGCCCACCCCCCGATGACAAGTGATCTTTTTGCTATGGCTAGATTGTTTTTAACTATGAAGATGTTACCAGCAAAGAGGTGACCTAGAACCTAGTAATTGGTGCATCCTTTTTTTGCGCAGCTAAACGAGCATCATCTTCCTGTTCTAAAATCTAAAGAATACACAGAAAAATTATTCCAGCACAAAAAAAGGGCACAGGACTCTTGAAACTTCATTTTTTTCTCCCCTTACACTCGTCTCCCTCTGTGTAAGGGGCAGACAGGTGACGTTGTTAAAAGGCCGTTTGGGAACCGCACGTCCTGCGCTGCCCGCCCCCCGCCAGCGAGCACGCGGGCGGTG